CAGGCCAGGATGGCCCTGTTCCCAGTGGGGCTTAATAAAATACTCAGGGTTTGTAATACTAAAATAATATCTCAGATGTTTATAGCACCTTGCAGCCCAAAGTGCTTGGCAGTTGGCTGTAAATTGTCTGCCACGGCAGGGGGAGCAGAGGAAGGAAGGTGCAGCATCCTTGGGAAGTATGCAAAGAACTCGAGGAGGTGAGAGGCTGCCAGGCGTGATGGAATTTGCTCTTTAGCAGGCAAAGAAGGATGTTGGATTTGATCCTATCTGCACAACCCGTCTCCAATAGCTGCCATGGGCTTTCCAGCCTCCCTCCAAAATACAGATTCCATGAGGATCCAGTGGGATGGGAAGACACCAGAAGCCAGGGTAGTTACAGAGCAATGGGGAACTGAATCACTCTTCCCAGGGGATGGACTCCAACAGCCTCTGATGCCACAAAGAAGCCAAACCATGTTCTCTTCTCAGCCTCAGACCTCTCAGCAGACCTCAGAGACTGTCCAGAACCCCTGGGAGCAGCTGGGGGTAAAGCTGTGACAGTGGTTTTAATTAAGCTTAGCTTCTATTAATCTAATTTAAAACTGTGCCTTTAATGGTATTGGTGCAACCCACAATAGGAATTTATGACATTTCCAGCAGCTGTTTTAATTCAGAGCACTAAAATGTAGATTTGTCTGAGAATGGCAATTCCAAAGATTTCCCTATTAAAATCAAGTCTTGTTCAAATAGATTTTCCAATGCCTTATGAAATGGCGAAAAATCAAGTCTTAGCTAAAGCAGTGTCTAGTATAAATTTCATTGGAAACTGAATTAGGGCACTCATTTTGCAGGAATATCTCGGTATTACAGAAGAGCAACAGGACAGTTTCCGATGCCATGTAATTTTCTGAATTCCCATTAAATTGATTTCTTTATTTCAAAACCTCGTTTTCCAAGAGACACTTCCCAGCTGATCTCTCGGGAGGAGCTGCTCAGACTGTCAACAGAGCCGAGGGCAGAGGCGCCACGAGGGCCACAGGAGCTGAGGGTTGGTGTGGGAAGCGCAGGAGCTGGACTCGGAGCCCAGCCGCGGAGGGGCTAGCGCAGCCTGCACGCCACCAGCTAAAGAGATGCGTCTGCCTCTGATTTGCATGTTTATCTTAGAAGCAATTTAGGTTTCCCTTGTTTACAAGAGCCAAAGTCAGCAGACTCTCCACAAGAACAACAGCTTGGAGGCAGCGCGTGACGGGAGTCTCCTGTTCCACTCGTGGGTCTGGGATGGGCTCTGCATGCAGCTGCACCTCTGCATGCAGCCCTGCAGCTCGCAGGGAGGGACAGGAGGCCTTCACCTCGCAGGCTGCAGAAGCACCTGCCCTTGGAAGATAAGGTCTCCATCCTCAGCTGTCTGTGCTGCCTTGTGAGCAGCAGGGAAGGGAGGGAGGGAGGGAGGGAGAGGCGGCGCAGTTCCCACAGCACGGCCCTGCACACCAGCTCAGGGGAAAAGGGGAAATGCAACTCGGAAAAGCTCAGAATTGCACACTGATGGGCAGGGGGTGACAGTGCAGCACCCCCAGTTGCACACTGATGGGCAGGAGGTGACACTGCAGCACTCTCTGTTGCACACTGATGGGCAGGGGGTGACACTGCAGCACTCCCAATTGCACACTGATGGGCAGGGGGTGACACTGCAGCATCCCCAGTTACACACCGATGGGCAGGAGGTGACACTGCAGCACCCCCAATTGCACACTGATGGGCAGGAGGTGACACTGCAGCACTCTCAATTGCACACCAATGGGCAGGAAAATGGGAAATGCAACTCGGAAAAGCTTGGAATTGCACAGTGATGGGCAGGAGGTGACCCTGCAGTGCCATGCAGCCCGGGATGGTCAGAGGGACTGTGCCAGCCCCTCACCCAAGCTGGGCAAACAGCTCTGCACTTGGCAAGGGACGATGCCAGGGCTTCACACACCCTCAGGAGGCAGCAGCGTATGGAATCCCGTTGGACAGGGTGGGGGATTGTTACCCCCACGTGCACTTAATTATCCACTCCCTTCTTCCCTGCCTCCCAGCTCCTCCTCACTGCGGGCTGTCCAGCTCCTGCCTCTCTCCTCCCAACCCTGAAGTCCAGGCCTGAGGAGCCTCCAGCATCAGGAGAAGTTATCTCTTACAGACTTTTCTGAACTCAGGGCTTGGGTTTTGTGGGTTTTTTCAGCTACAAAAATGCAGATTACCCCAGAGTACAACACTGCAGCAGTGTGCCACTTCCAGCACAGCTTCATCTGATTGAAAAGGAAGTTCTGATAAGGCAGCTGGGGACTTCTCGGAACATCCATTGTCTTTCTCGCTGCAGTATTTTTAAAATGTCACAGATTTTGAGAAATAAAATTGGAAGGGATGCTTTCATCTATCCAAAACAAATGTTTGGGTTTTTTCCTTCCCAAAACTCTGCTTGGCAGAATTTTCTGCTGTTCCTCGTCTTGCTCCATTTCAGAGTAACTGAACTCTACTGGAGCATTTCTCACCAAGTGGAAGCTTTCGTCTTTGCCGAGGCAACCGCAGCCTTCCCAGGTCATGGGAGGAATTTTCCCTTTAGTTGTGTGTTAGATTTTAGTACATAAACTCTGATGGAGTCCTGTAGGTGCTGTGGTAAATGTGCTGCCACAGGCAAAGGGAGATGCAGCCACTGGCCCTTGTGGGATGCTCATGGTGAGCTGCTACAGCAGCACTTGGTGCCCTGCGCTCTGCTCTCCCTCCACTTTCTCCTGCTGATAATGTTTGCTCTGATCTGGGTATTTGGCAGGAGAATTAAGGAGCAGTAATTAGCTTCCAGTGTGAAAAAGGGAGTGCCTGTGTTTATCTTGTCTGGAGGGTTTCCCTTGATCTCGGTCTCCCAGGGGATGGTGTTAGTGCTTTATCCATCACTCTCAATTCTGGGAGGCAGCTCTGCTGCCGGCTGCTGTGTCCCAGCCCACTCTCAGCTGGGCCTGGAGTGCTGCAGCCCCACAAGGTCCCTGGTGAGGTGGCCTGTCACAGAACATTTTACCTTTCCCAGCATCACTTTTCTCCAGCAAAGAGGAGCTTTGGCTGCTTCTGAACTTCCATGGTGCAACGTGCTGCCTCACAGCATCTCATCGCTGCCTTGCAGCACAGGCAGGGGTAAGCCAGCCACCCCATCCTTGCTGGGCAGAATGAATTCAGGGCTGGGGAGCTGACCATGCCTCTGGGGAGGAATTCTGCAGTCCCACTCCATGTCACAGTGCCACCATCCAGCTGGTGGGATGCTCCCCTGCCCTGTCCCCATGGAAGGAAGGGGCTGCTCTCGGCCTGGCACGAGCAAGGCACTGAAACATCCCCAGTCAGCAGTGCTCGAGGAGCTCCTGTTGGCTTTTCTTTCCCAAACAGCTTCTGCCACTCCCCTGTTCCTCTGCTTCAGGATGAAAGGCTGGTGAGCATGCTTGTGACAATAAAGCTCACTGCCCCTTGGAGTCTGGGTTTGCAAAGCCATGGGGAGCTGGGTTTATTATCCTCAGCTCCAGCCTGGGATGACCTTGTGCTTCTGCCAGCATTTAAACAAAATATTTTAAAAGAGGGAGCAGATCCCATTGCTTGCAGGGCTTTCCTGAGCCTGGGAGCTCTCTCTGGGGTGGATAGAACTGAGAGAACATGTCCAGAGACAGACAATGAAATATTGTCCAAGCTTATTGCTTTTTATTATTATTGAAGGAAGGTTTATGCTTCCAGTCTGGGTGGGGGTTAGAAAAAATCTGAATATCACCCAAACCTCATCCCTTCCAGCCAGAATCCCAGCTCTGTGCTCTGCAGCAAAAGTCATCCTCAAGCACAAGCAGCCAGAGGGGTGAGCGGGTGGTGCAGGCGGGAGCCGACTGGGATGGAAAATTCCACGTTGCTGCCATTGTCCGGGATGGGGAGAGAGCGGGGCAGAGCTCAGGTCCCTCCCCCGTGGCTGTGGAAAGCTGCCCATGGGCTCAGCCAGGCTCTGGCAGGCTGCTCTTTGTGTCTTGTCTGTCTGCTCCGAGTTCTGCTCTCTCCCCACGGCTGCGGGGAGGGGAGCAGGGTACAGGTGGGACGCAGGGAAGACAGGAGCCACAGCAGAGTTCTGCCAGTTGTGGAGATTCAGGACACGAGAGTAAATGTCCAGGAGATGCACAGAGAGAAATCCACAGCTGGGGGATGACAGTGTGTATGAGGAGGGCAGCACCAACTGCTGCAGCCTGCTCCTCTTCCTCCCTCCCTGCGCATCCACAGGTGTCTGTGCCATGGACATTGCTGACAAATGCAGGCAGGAGAAAGGGCAGAGGCTGCAGGAGCCACCCTGGGCTCAGCTGGGCTCCATCCTGCTGTGCTCAGCAGGGCTGGGTGACAGCACGGGGCTGGCATGTTGGGAAGAGGCTGGGAGGGAGGTTTTGCACATCAGCAAGTTTCTCTGCTGCTGCCCCAGGAGCTGACACAGGCCAGGCTTATGGGAGACATCCCATGTCTCACAGCACCCAGAGCTGGCTGTCTGCTGGGGGAGATGGGCTCCACAGACTCCCTGCCCCTTCCTGCAGTGATGCACACACTGAGAAAAGCTCTGCTTGCTCCTGGCTCATGCACCTTGGGATTACTTCATTAAACAAAAAGACTCACTGGGGTCTGCAACTTTCTCTTGAGGGGTAGTGGAGGGGCAGCTCTGATCTCCTATCTTGGTGACCAGGAACAGGAACCAAGGCAATGCCTGGAGCTGTGTCAGGGGAGGTTTGGGCTGGATATCAGGAGAAGGTTCTTCCAGAAGGTGGTGGGGCACATACAGGCTCCCCAGTGCAGTGGTCGTGGCCCTAAGGCTGCCAGAGCTCAAGAAGTGTTTAGCCAATGCTCCCAGTCCCAGGGTGGGATTTTGGGGGTGTCCTGTGCAAGGCCAGGAGTTGGAGTGGATGATCCTTGTGGATCCCATCCCCTCAGTGATGCTGTGACTCCCCTGTGCAGGCAGGGCAGTAACGCGGCACCGTTCTCTCGCGCAGGTACATCGGGGCACTGGGCGCGAGGGTGATCTGTGACAACATCCCCGGGCTGGTGAACAAGCAGCGGCAGCTCTGCCAGAGGTACCCTGACATCATGCAGTCGGTTGGGGAGGGAGCCAAGGAGTGGATCCGGGAGTGCCAGCACCAATTCCGGCACCACCGCTGGAACTGCAGCACCCTGGACCGCGACCACACCGTCTTCGGCCGGGTCATGCTGAGAAGTAGGTCCTGCCCTGTCCCCTTGCCACCACCCTGAGACTTCTCTTCCTGGGAGAGTCTCTCCTCCCACTGGGCTGCCATGCCCGGTGGCTTGGATTACTCCCTGAGGAGAGCTTTGCCTTTCCTTGTAAATTAATCAAGTAGTAATGGGAGCAGAGCAGTGCGTTTGGAATAGCTGCACCAGATGAGATGGAGCAGGGGGAGCACTGGGGGAGAAGGGGGAAGGAGGAGACACCTCCGGAGAACAGGCGCATATGTAAACAGTAATGGGATATATAAATATTTGGAGAGCGGGGTTGGCCAGGACTCAGCAATTCACGTGGGAACTGGCTGTTCCCTCGCATGGCAAGGGAGGCAAGGCACAGATACAGCTCCAGTCCCTGCTTCAGGCTCGGAGGTGTAGGAGGACCATGGCTGCAGGGCAGGTGCCAGCCCTGCACAAAGGACTGGGCATGGCCCTGATGGGAGAGACCTTCCCCCACAGGTGAGAGACGGATACAACACAAGGAGGGACACACCCAGGAAAGGCACCCAAGGAACAAAGAGGAAAGGCACGATGGGGACAGGGGTGAGGTGGTTCCAGAGCAGGAGCAGCATCACAGGCTCCAGCTGCCCAGGATGCTCTGGGAGCAAAAAGGCCCTGGGAGCCAGCACAAGGCAGCAGCACTGCAGGACAGATGCTGCTGCATCCCATGACGTGCTGGGAGCATCCAGCCATGTGGCCTCTGAATCAAAAGCGGCTGGGAGAGTCTTTCCACTCACAGCTCGTATGGAGGACACGTGAGTGCCACAGAAGGAGCCGGTGAGTGGGGGGCTTGCTCCTCGCTGGCGGGGGGATGCAGCAGCTGCCCGTGGGGTGGACAAGCAGCAGAGCCACAAGCCAGATGCCTGACCAAACTGGAGGAAGGGGCCTGGAATGCTGAATGAAGCTTCCACCCCGCCATGCTGCAGCCTGCTGCTCAGCCTCTCTGTTCCCATCACAGCACCTTTTCTCCTGCTCGCATCCTCTCCTGGCAAAGGATGGGGAATGATGAAAGCTCCTCGCCACAGCCCCATCCTGCGAGGCCCAAAGACAGCTCTGCTGCCTTTGAAGTTGCTTTCAAAGGCTCTCGAAATGAAGACTAACATGGTTTTGATTTGCAGCTTCTTTTACAGCATTATAAAACCAGCTGCGAACTTGAACCAGAGACACAGAATAGCAGCAGCAAGCTGTGCTGTGCAGGGGGAGCCGCGCCCGGCCCGAGGGAGGCAGGGAGGGAGGCAGGGAGGGAGGGCAGCCGCCCTGGCCCGAGGGTGCTGGCTGCTCTCACCCAGGTACAGCCTGGGCATGTACCCTGAGCACTGCAGTCAGCCTGAAGGGCTCCCGGGCAGCCGAGGCCGGACGCTGTGGTCAGCAGAGATGGTTGGGCTTGGCTTATCCACACACAGGATGGTGTCGCTCCCCAAGGCCCGGTTCTCCATGGGCTGCAGGCACTTGGCACGGCCTGGCACGCTCACTCCCCGTTCCTGTCTCTCTCCCGTGGCAGGCAGCAGGGAGGCCGCCTTCGTCTACGCCATCTCCTCGGCCGGGGTGGTCTATGCCATCACGCGGGCGTGCAGCCAGGGGGACCTCAAGGTCTGCAGCTGTGACCCGCTCAAGAGGGGCCGCTCCAAGGACGAGCGCGGGGAGTTCGACTGGGGCGGCTGCAGCGACAACATCAACTACGGCATCCGCTTTGCCAAAGCCTTCGTGGATGCCAAGGAGAAAAAGGTGAAGGATGCCCGGGCGCTGATGAACCTGCACAACAACCGCTGCGGGAGGATGGTGAGTGCAGCCCCGGGAGCTCTGGGACCTTCCCGAGGGGACTGGGCAGCCAGAACAGCTTGGCCAGAGAAACGGGACCTTGGGCATCTTTGGAGGGCAGCTCCTGCTGTGGATAAGGCTGGATGCTGCCCTGCCTTGCCCTAGGGAATGGCAGGACCTCGTCACCTTTGCCTCCTGTGTCCTTGCTGCTGCTGGCATTGGTGACCTCCATACACAGCCCTGTCTCCCATTGGGAGCCCCATCCCACATAGCCAGGGGCTGGTAAGCTGCACCAGCAATGAGCAGACACTGCTGCAGTATCTGATGCCCAGGGTGACCACTGGTCCTTACCCCTCTCTCTTCCCACAGGCTGTGAAGCGCTTCCTGAAGCTGGAGTGCAAATGCCACGGGGTCAGTGGCTCCTGCACACTAAGGACTTGTTGGCTGGCAATGTCAGATTTTCGAAAAACAGGGGATTACCTAAGGAAGAAATATAATGGGGCCATCCAGGTGACGATGAATCAGGATGGCACTGGCTTCACTGTGGCCAACAAGAATTTCAGGAAGCCCACAAAAACAGATCTGGTGTATTTTGAGAACTCACCTGATTACTGCGTGATGGACAAGTCAGCAGGTAAAACCTGGAGCTCCAGTCATTACCCAAAAGCATCTCTTCCTCCCTTCCCAACAGGCCAGCAGCTCCCAGCTAGCCCAGCCTGGGGGCTCAGCTCCTCCACTCAACCCCACTCTTTGGAGACTCCCCACAGCACTCCACACCTGCACAGGCAGGACTGCATTGGTCCAAAATCCCCAGGCTTTACACCAAGGCCCCAAACCCCTCAGGCTTCTGATCATCACAGAAATGGAGTGTATCCTCAGAGCCCATCTTCTGCAGAGCAAAGCTCCCTTGAACAGGCAACAAAGAGCCTGTTCCACGCACAGGCTGCTCCTCTGAACACAGCCCGAGGTTGGGATGAGAGCAGGGCAGAGGCATCAGGGCTGCTGGACTCCAGCAGAGATGATCAAGGGTTTCTCAGCCTGGAGCATTCCCAGTTTAGTTCACAGCAGCCATGGGAGTTCAGTGGGGAGCGCATGGCCCTGCCATGCTCAGCCTAAGCAGAGAGGGCATTTTGAGCTTTGCCAGCTGCAAAACCTGGCTCGGTGGGCAGACACTGCTCCCAGGGGTTCCCCAAGGCACAGAGGGGCTACAGATCCCCATCCCTGTCCCCTACTGCTCTTATGCTCTGGCAGCAGCAAACACAGGCTCTAGCAGTGGGCATGGGAAGGGGGCCATGCAGATTGCCATAGAAACCCAGAAGGTTTTGGGTTGAAAGGGATGTGAAAGATCGTCTCATTCCAACCGTCCATCATAGGGGACATGAGAGACACCACAGCTGCATCCCTGGCCAGGCTTGCGGCATCCCACGTCCATAAAGCAGTGGCACCCATGGAGATGCCCAGGGTCCCCAGTAAGCCCTGGGGTGGGTGGGCGCGCAGGGAAGGGCTGGGAGCCGGGGAGAAGGGCAGCCTGACACGCTCTGTTCCCCCGCAGGCTCCCTGGGCACGGCGGGCCGCGTGTGCAGCAAGGCGTCGCGCGGCACGGACGGCTGCGAGGTGATGTGCTGCGGCCGCGGCTACGACACCACGCGCGTCACCCGCGTCACCAAGTGCGAGTGCAAGTTCCACTGGTGCTGCGCTGTGCGCTGCAAGGAGTGCGAGGACACTGTGGACGTGCACACGTGTAAAGCCCCCAAACGGGCCGAGTGGCTGGACCAGACCTGATCAGCCGGGAGCACTGAGGGAAGAAGCCACTGCCACCCCCCCTTGCAATTTTTTTTTAAACCCCTGTGCCCTGAGGGCCGCGATGTTCTGGGAGCTGTAGTTCAACTGCATGGCTTTTATTTAATTAATTCTACAAAGCACTAAGGAAAGGACTGCAGTTTCCAGGAGGTACTGTGGGCCCTTCGATGTGCTCAGCAAAACTAATCCCTGACCTAGCAGGAGGCTGCGATCCTTGCTTAAACTGTGAACCTGCAACGGTTCTCTTGGCAAAGGGATGGTGCGACCAACAGAGACTCAGAGGACTGACTGTCAGGACGTGATGGCTGAGGAATCCTGCACCTCCCCAGAGAATCTGTTACAGTAAAGCTTCACCAGCGAAAAACCCTAGTTCAGAATAATCCACTCTTGCAAAAGCATTCTTGCTTTTTCTTTTTTGCAAGGCCAGAGGAAGGGTGTTGTGAAGCCGTAAGACAGTTCCATGATACCTGTGTTTCCCTCGAGCAGACCTGATACATCACTAACCCCACTGAGCAAGAGTCACCTCTGCACAAGGCTTGTCCCTGTGTCCCCAGCACAGGGAACAAGTGGAGTTGTAACCTGGAACTGAACTCTGAAGGACTGCACAGAGACAAAGGCCACCTCTAGATGCTGGTGGACACATGGGGCTTGAGAGAGCAAATGAAACCTGTGAACTTACTGGTAGGTTCTGAAGTCAACCATACAACAGCATCTCTGTACAACTCACGTGTATGTTGTGTATACTGCTTATTATTTTAAGTCAAAATTAATTATAAACCTGTACCAGAAAATTATGTCCTTTGCTTTTTGAATTCCTACTCACTCAGCTGAGCACGTCCCCAGAGCAGGAACCAGCTCACAGCGTTTCTCTTCCCCGCTGTCTGCAGCTCCTGCTGTCCCAAAGCTTCCTACAGAGCCAAGCATCCAAAGCCCCAGGGAATCCTTTCTCAGCAGGATCACACTTCAGGATGCCCCATCCCCAAAAGTGTTCAAGGCCAGGCTGGACAGGGCTTGGACCAACCTGGTCAAGTGGAAGGTGTCCCTGCCCATGGCAGGGGGTGGAACAAGAAAGGTTTTACAGTCCTGCACCACTCAAACCATTCCATGGTTCTATAGCACGGGGTCAAGCAGGAGATGCTAGATAAACTTACAACTCTTTCCCATTAAAAACCTCCAAACACTCAAAAACATAAGCAGCTAAAATTGAAGCTGATGAGAGGAGGGGAAGGCAGCTACAGAGCTGCTGGTAGGTAAGTTACAGGAATCCACACATAACCTCTACAAATTTCCTCTTTTCTCCACCAATTTGAGCAAGCAGACATTACAAAAATGCTTTACTTAGTGTACAAATATTTTATAGAGTCTGGTCAAAAGGTCCCAATCCATACAAACAAATGCAATGTATAACAGTTGAACCTGGTAACTAAACTGACCCAGGTAAAAAAGAGAAATTATCCTAATCATTGCAATTCCTGAGGCTGAGTGCTCCTCAGTTCCCCCACCAGAGCCAGGCTGCACATTGCCCCAGGCACGCTGTGCCCCCTCCCTTAGCCAGAAAAATGGGGTTAACTTTCCTAATACTGCTCAGCATTGTGCTGATGGGCAAGGATGTTCCACACAGAGGAAATTTTCATGGAAGTTCCAAACTTGTAACAATAAGAGAGGCCAAGTCAACAGGGACATTCACCTGCTTTTTTCTGGGGTCTGCTTTATGGCAGCCAGAGGCCACGCCAGAGGTCTCTGAGGAGCTGGGGTTTTCTCTGGAAGCAGTGAGATGTGTGGGCAAGGGAGCTGAGCAGGCTACAAGAGGAAGGTCAAAGGAACAGGATGGGATTAAGGCAAAGAAGATTATTCTGGTCCTAAGCCACCCATCGGCTACTGCACCAAAAGCATCTCTGAACAGGGATCTTACTCAATGGCCCTAGGAAATAATAGTTTAAGTGGGGAGAGAAATCCACTTTAAAACCGGTTTTGATGGGGGAACTGCTCAAAGAATTAAAAGAGCCTGCCATGGGCTGGATTAAGCACCTTCCTCCACGCCAAACCCCTGAGAGTGCTCATGCAGAAAAAGGAGCTTCAGCAGAGCTGCCGCAAAGCCACAGCCAAGCCAAAAGGTGACATTTTATTGGAGATCTTGAGAGAATTACAGGAATCCCACCTTCCCACTGCCTAAACTGTTTCTTACAGAATTAAACCAATTTCCTGACAGCACTAGAGGGTTGTGCAGCACCTTCCCTGCTCTTGCACTGGAGCTGGTGTTTACCCAGGAGACTTCTGGTCTTCCCCCAGGCCCTTCCAAGACCCTCCGAATTTCAGGGAGACAATTTTCCCATCCTGGCTGTACTGAGGAATGCTGGCAGGTGAGCAGGAGGTCTGAGGCAGGCCCAAGGCATCCCGAGCCAGTGCAGCATCCGTCAGCACAGGCTCATCAACCGGGAAGAGCCTCTCATTTATCTTCATTACTGCTCCACCTCCTCTCAATTTACGACAGACTTGAAAAAAACGCTGCCCCCTCAGCCATCAATCCAAGCCTCCCTCCCACAGCAGGACACACTCCCTGGGCTGGGAGGGACCCAGTGCCTGGGGACCCGGGGTCAGCCGTCAACAAACACTTCTTCTTTTGCAGAGGACCCTGGGGGGTGTCTGTAGGAGATCCGTGGGCCAGCTTGATGAATGACACCTTAATCAATGGCTGCTGCCTAAATATATCCTCCTCTTGGATGCAGAGGTTCATATTTTAAAACAAAGAGGGAAACTCCTGAGGATAGGTTGTCTTTGGTTTATTGGCTTCCCCTCTTTCTGGCTTCATCACGGAGATGCTGAAATTGGATGCCTCCAGTGCTCTGTAGAGTAACCGCAGCTGAGACAGGAAACCTCCCTAGTTCTGCCAGGTCCACCTGTGCAGCTGCATTCCTCTGTCACAGCAGTAAATAAGAGGAGTAAAAATACTTGGATCAAGTGCAAGTGCTCCAGCAGTACCTGGAGCAGTCCTGGGACAGCCCACCGAGCTCAAGTCCACCTGACAGAAGAAGTGACAGTTTCTTCTGCTAAGGACTACGCAAGGCTACACTCATTTATCAACAAGCAATTAGCAGAAAACCACAGAACTGGAACAGAAATACACCAGTCAGCCAGAGCAAACTCCCAGTGCTTGTACAAGGTCCCACTGTGGGCTAAAGGAAATTCAGACTGGTCAGTGCCCTACTGCAGATGAGCCCCATGGAAGCCCCCCTGAGCACACTCATCCTTGGCAAGAAGCTGCTTTCCATCTCATTTCTGAAGGTTACAGTCTCATCAGGGAACACTCAGTCCCTCTCACAAACCCCTCTGAAGTAATCTGCCTAAAATGTGGAGGGAGCCTTTCATGCAAGTTCATCTTCAAATTATCTTCCAGTCAAAAGCATGGCTGCACTCAAGGACAAGGTGCAGAATTAATTCCTTATGAGCTTCTGAATATACTACCTTCTCTGAAGCAGACAGGATACACAGGAGGAGGCAGAAGGCATTGGAAACATGGAATCATGTGCAGGGCCAGGAATTGGACTTGACATCCAAATGTTCCTTCTGGGTCTCGTCCACAGTCCAGGAGATTCTATGATTCTGATTTTCTCCACGTGGGTGAGAACAGGCCTTAGCCCAGGTGATACCACCATTTTTTGGGATGGAGGTAACAGCAAGATCTGTAAATTCTTGAGCTCAGCAATGCAGGTGAACACATTGCCAAGCTACATCCCAATCCCAACACGCCCCTGTCTCCCCACGGGCCTTTTCTGCTCTCCATTGGGTTCCTAAAGGCACAGAAGGCTTTGCTCAGGTACCTGTGACCAGTGTAATCCATGGGGGATTACAAACCTGCCATAACAGACCCAGCCCTCAGGGGCAGATTTACTGTGGCATTTGGACTAACATTCACACAGCCTGTCTGTGCAAGCTTTCACATCCCATATTCCCGAAGCCGAGTCACGGAGGGCTGCTCCAGCTAGCAGCAGGGGGGTCACTGCTCTGCAATCACAGCCAGTGAGTCAAGGCAGGAGAATGCAATAGTCACATACTGTGTCACCCTGTTTTATAACTGATGAAAGCCCACAGCCAAATTAGCAAAGGAATCAAGAGGCTGTTAAGAGAAGGGTCCAGCCGATGAGGCCGCGCTGCGATTGCACAACCCAAAGCATCCAGAGTAAAAGAAAAATGCTGCTGGCCAGAAAGAACCAATAGGGGAAGATCCCAGCGGAGGAACACGCTCATCGTGGTGGATGCACCCTGAGTGATGCCGTCAGCAAGGGTGTGTTATCTCGCTCTCCCCGATGACCAGACTCACTGAAGATCCCACCAAAGAGCACAACAGAGCAGTCGAGGCTGGCAATGAGGAGAATTCCAAGCACATGAGCAGCATCCCTGATCACGGCCTTGTCCCTCCAGTAAGGGCTGGGGCGTGCAGAGCACACCCTGCCAAGGAGGCTCCAGACAGGGAGGAGGCAGCCAGGAGACAGAGCTGGAAACGAAGCTGCCTTTACTCTTTCTCCACCTTTACTGTAAGATGGGTGAATTCAGAGCACAGGACACTGAACACAGAAGCCCACTGTGATTGCTACTGTCATCCTGACTGATCTGTAGACATTTTTCCCCAAAGCAGGTGACAACAGCTCATCATCACCTCTGCAGCCATCCTAATGAAATGCAGACAAGAGGAGTCTGTCCCTCTTAACAGCAAAACAGGGCAAGCTGGGCACTGCTCAGAATCTGGTAGAGTAGGAATGCTGGAGAAGAGGTTCAGGCTGGCTATCAGGAAAAGGTTCTTTCCCCAGAGGGTGGTCAGGCACTGAACAGGCTCCCCAGGGAATGGTCACAGCCCCTTGGCTGCCAGAGCTCCAGGAGCCTTTGGACAGTGCTCCTCAGGCACAGGGGGGATCACAGGGGTGTCCTGAGCACGGCCAGCAGCTGGACTCGATCTTTGCAGGTGCCTTCAGCTATTCCATGATTCCATGAACCCCACAGTGCCCTGTGCCAAGAGCACAGCCCAGCTCACACGTGCTCCAGCACAGCTGGGCCCATTCTGACACCTCAGCACAGCCTCACTGGCTCCCAAACACACACCCCAAACATCAGTGCTTGGGAGGTGCTGCTCCCCTCACTGTCTCCCCTCTGAGCAGGGGGAAGAGCAACAGTAATTTATGTCTGGCTGAGCCCCATACATACATCTCCTTCCCCTAAGGGAGTCTGCTCTCATATTTAACCTCTTCATTCTGCTGGCACTGGAGGTGGATGATGCAGCTTGTGGAGAGGTGCAGGCACTTCCCTCTCCCCCTCCTCCTGGAATCTTCCTCTCACTTGTGGTCCTTGGGATTCACCCAACGTTTCTCAGGAAAAAGAAAAAAAAAAAGAGGACCTCTAGACAAGTATGCATTTAATAAGCAGTGAGACAAATAAGCTCCAGTTATCCCAGCAGAATTACAACACCAGAGAACAATTTTCTGCATTCCTCTGAAGGCCTGAAGGAACCCAATTGCATGCTCTCAGGCTAAATAGGTACCAGACACCAAGCGCTCCATAAGCAAACAGAGCCCCCAAAGTGCAAAAATGAAATAAGTAAAAAGCTTCACATTACATATAAACCAGCCGTTTGCACCTTGTTATTAATGGTCTCAACTATGACCTTTACACCCTGCCTTGCTCAGAGTCATGGATCTATGAGGCTTGGCACCCTCACAACAATTCCAGGATGAGGAGCAGGGAATAAACTTGCCTAGCCAGTGCTGGAGAGATGCAGGAAGGGAACTGGCCTGTGACAAATCTGGATGGAGAACCACTCCAGGGCCATCTCCATATGAATTTGTCCCCATAACCTCAGTGACCAAGGTGTCTGACAGCATGAAAAGTCCTTCTCCCACAGACATACATGCATAAAAGCTACTAACAAGCATCTATTCCAATTTTCAAAAATGAAGGGCTCCCAGCATGGTAAATACCTGTCAGAGATTACTCCCCAGAATTCTGATGTGATTTATAGCCCACATGAACTAGGGCTGCAATGAACAGACCTTGTTACCCTGAAATATTTATTAGTCTGAACTGCCTCACCTCTGCCACATAAAGCCTTGTGGAAAAGCTATTGCCATCCCAATGGCTGTAAAGTCACCACAGTCCTTGTTTCAAAGAAGTTACATCAATATTCATCTTGTCCTGAGTAATAATTGTAATTTTGAATGCATATATACATACAGATGTATATGTGTATACACTAAGGTATGGGTCACGTGTCTGCTCCTAAGTGGCAAAGGAACACTTCCCAAAAACACGGACAATCCTGCACAGACAGCACTCCTTCCTAGGATTGCTGGCACTTCTAGAGACAGGAAGATTTTCATTACACAGCCTGCTGCCAGCTCTCCTTTCAGAACAAGCCCATCCCCTTTCTGTTACTGTTATGTCAAGGGAGGACAGTGAGAGAAAGCAGCTCTTGGGATGATACATGGGAGGCAGAGCTTCATTTATAACCCCACACAACTGCTGGAAAAGGTTCAACTTTAAAAAGCATTAGGCTGGTTACCTTATGGGCCCCTGCAGACCATGAAGTGAAATCACATGAACACAACAGGCCTATTAATCACCACAGTGATTCCAAGGTGAGAAACAGCCCCAGTGACCAACTGGAAAAAAAGTTGAGAAAATTACATTCTAGTAGTTAGATAAGTCTAAAAAGACTGGTAGTATATTTCTGTAGGGCTTCCCTTTTGATTCCTTGATGAATTCAAACAGTTAACCTGGATTTAAGTCCAGTCAACAGAAATATACAGTGGAGAGCAAACAATGGCATTTCTACCCAAGCAAGTATGTTTCCCTTCAGAGTTATAAATAAACTACATTTACATGAGATGCAGAGGTGACTTTCTGCTTCACAGAACTTGGTTTACAAGGTAAAGAAGGATTTGAAAATAAGCAAAAAGAAAAGTAATTAGTTCTTCTTTTGCTCTAATGGGAGAGTAGAAATGGAAGTCACACCAATTACCTCAAACCACGTGGCTGCCACAGCCATCTTTCCACCTCTGCAGTAAACAAACCCTCAGGGCTGCTCTGTATGTGAAGCAAATCCTTTGAAGAGTTTTCCACATCTCCTTTCTCTTCAAGTCTTCATAACAACACTGAAACTACTTTGGACTAACACTTGAAGGTTCAGCTCTCCCAACAGACTCCCCTGCAGATACCACAACACTTTGGGCAGTTTCAGAAGCCATCCTGTCTTTCAAAATGCTTTGTCTTAAAGAATAAAAGATGTACAATTAAATCTAAAGAAGTAGTGTGAAATAGAGGAGTTTACCATCTCCTTGAGTAATGCAAGCTCATAAGATAGAGAAGAAACAAATCTTTGTTTGCACATTGTAATCTATATTTAACAGACACTTAAGAAGTCAACAAATTCAATGCTTTAAGTAGCAACCTTTTAATAAAGAAAGCAGAACCATACTTTGCTGTTAACAAATATTTTGAAAAAGGCTTATGAAATTAAATCTAAGCCAAGTATCTGGTGCATCTGCAGCTGAGAAGGAAGCATCAGTACTCCCAACACCTGCTCAGTTTGTGTATTCTCCTTTCTTACAGAGGAAGTATGAGCTTCCAGTTGTCCAAGTGATTTAGAGAGCAATAAACTATTGTTCAACAAGAACTATTTTCTTAGATGATTACAGATTAAGGCCAAAGGAGAAATTCATATGTTAAGCACCATCAGCATGGAAGCCAGTCAAGGATATCAGTTTGAAGAGCCCAGATTTCTTCCTTGGCTCCCACAACTGGGAGGGAGGCTCATAAGAATAAAATCAAACTATCATGGAAAATACACACGCCAGTCACACCAGTCAGCTGATGCCAGGGGCTGGACAGCAGCAGGTCCTCAATGCGTTCCAGAGTGAAGATGAAGGGTGAAAGAAGAGTCCCAAAGCACTGGAAGAAACAGAACACAACCATGAATCAGTTCAGTTTCCAAACCAACTTCCTTCTGCAGCCTCAAGGTATGAGCAAAAACCACCCTGTGTCTTGCCCTCAGGGCAACAGGATTCCAACCCCTTCACTGCTGATGCCATGAAGCAGGCTTGTTGTAAACATTAGAGATGAATGGAGACACACAGAAGGAGAAGCAGCCTGTGGAAGGCCCAGCTCCAGGCCATGCACTCACCCTGGCGCAGTCCCCTCAGCTGGAGGCCAGAACACTGGGAGCACTCACTGGCCACAGCACCCGCAGCACCTGGGCAGAGGCACAAGGGTTAGCGCGGCATTCCTCCACACGAGCACTCTGCCAGCTGCTCAGCACTGGGCTTCAGGGCTCAGCAGACCAGGGAGCAGAGGACAGTGGATTTTCAGAGAATCACGGGAAGGGACCTTAAAGATCACCCAATTTTTTCAATATTCAGGCAGAGATTATTTAGAGGTCACTGACCCAAATGGAACAGCCCATCCACCAAGACCAGTCTGTGCTTCCAGACGGGATCCATATTCTAGATGCCATCTAAACAGTTCCAGAAGTAAGATTAGGCTAAAACAAATTGTGCAAACTCCCCTGCACCTTCTCAAACCATCCCCCAGATATTCTGCTGGCACTCAGGTTATCCTTGTGCAAACGCTCATTTCATGAGTTAGCAACAACAGGACTCATTTACTTTGAAAGTTTTACTTTGGCCCTCCTGGCTTCTATCATAACCTCAAATATTACATTAAAAAGGCTTTTAAAACATAACATTCACAGCAGTGTAGGTGCTTTTCCTTGCAGTGGGCTTCTTCCCTGCCTGTTAGCGTGTGGCACCTTCACATTAAGTGCATGAGTTAAGATGTAGATTAGCAAGGCAAGAAACCTTTGCCCTTGGCATCGACACTCAGCTCTGACAGGAAACTTCAGGCTTTTTTTCCCCTACCAAGTGTAGAACCACTCATTACACATTGGCAGGGAAGTGCACATCTCCAAACTATACACATTTTCTCTTAGATAAGCAAAAGACTCAAGTGTTTATAAATATGAAAAGTTCAGCAGCTGGCTAAAAAGTTAATTCTCCAGTCTCACTTAATGAGCTTTGGGGAAAGTGGTAGGGGGATTTGTTCTTAAAGTAAAGCAGAGTGTCACATAAAGCAGGACTTGCCAGACACGGCTCTGCTTTGCCCTATTTTCTGTCCCTAGACAGCTGCCACAGACCAAATGGCAAGGAATCCTCCAACAGGGAGCTAGGGAACAGCCAGAATGAAGAATGTTTTCTCCTAATCTTGCAATCATAAAAATTAGCCAATTTTTAATTTAAATCCCATGACTTCTTTCTTTGTTGTGAAAGTATCAAGCGATCCATATAAAACCACTTTGGAACAGGGACTGTCTTAGGATTTTGTCCAATTCCCTGAAAAATAAAGTTGTTTTCAGTAGGATACAGCAGGAACATTGCTGCACTATTTTTTCAGTACTTTAATAATAATTTACACTGGTCTATTCCAGTAACAAAGTTCTGATGTAAAAAATGGGATTGACCTGCTTGGAATTGTCCAGAGCAGCTGTGGCTGCCCCATGCTTGGAAGCACACAAGGGCCAGGCTGGATGGAGCTTGGAGCACCCTGGGCTAGTGGAAGGTGTCCCTGTCCCTGGGCAGGAGGTGGAACTGGATGGGCTTTAAGGTCCCCTCCCACCAAACCATTCTGTGACTCTATGCAGGCATGTTCATTGTTTTCAGGAACTTTTGAGATCTGTTTACAGCGCCTGCTATCACTCTGTGTCACTGGTGTTCTTGGTGTCTTTGTATTACAGAAGGAACTGTGCAACCTCACTTTTGCAAGATGATATAGGTCCACCCAGTCCTCCGTCTATGTAATTATTAAAAAATAAAAATTCATACTGAATGCAAAAACAATCAGACCCTTTTGTCTGCAATTTCAACAGAAGTTGTTTTATCTAGCAGCATTTTCCAGCTTGTTCAGACAGTTCAGATTATTGTCATTTGCATACCTTCCTACCTTCTGTCACTTACTGCAGCTACTTCAGAAACAGCTGTCTGATGATCAAGAACAGTGATTCTCCAAGAGATCAGAAATCTGAGTGAAACAAATAGTGAGGCCCAGGGAGCACCTGCTGGTACTGCAGCCCCTGTGGCTCTTCTGCCATGGCCTGTCCTCACCAGCAGGACAGAATCATAGAATAGTTTGGGTTGGAAGGGACCTTAAAGATCACCTAATTTCAACACCTTGTCAAGGGCAGGGGCACCTTCCACCATCTGAGGTTGCTCCAAGCCCCATCCAACCTGGCCTTGGATTTGGCAGCCACAGCTTCTCTGGGCACCGTCATGGGCTCTCAGTGCATCAGCAAAAGCTGCAGGTTCTGCCAGCAGCAGTCCCCAGCACCTGCAGAGCCCCGGGGCTGCAGGACAGCAGAAATCCCCGTGGCGCCGGCTGGCAGGGACGGGGCGGCCGCGCTCGCGCTGCCAGCGCTCCGGCCGGGCTGGATCGCGCTGTGTACATTGGAACTACTAAACGCTTCCTTGTGATTTTTGGCCACTTGGAATACTTTTAGCAATTTGCCAAGGTTTACCCTGTGATTTATTATGGAGGAAACAAACTCAAGCACTAACAAATGAAAATATGTAAACTCAGACTTTTCAAGTCCATAGAAAGGTATTCAACTTCTTAAACCCCTTCTGAGGCATTCAGCTGGCTGTGGATTCAACTGCTGGAAAAAGAGTTTGATTAAGAAGTAACTGAAATGTAATCTAAGGAGTCACTGCTTGGAGATGTACAGTGAAAAATTCCATATACACACAATACTTTCCAATTGCCATTCCTAAAACAGTGTTCTAGGTTTCTTGGAAATTCAAGAGTTGGAAATACATTTTGCATTGCTTTTATCTACAGCCAAAGCACTCCAGATATACCAGCTAGAACTTTATTATCTAAAATTACTATATTTAATAAGTTAAAGAACAGTAAGATGAAAAATACTTGAAGTAATGAAATACATAGGAAAAAATAATTTTAAAAGTCTGAAGTACTGCAATTACTTGAAGATAAAATGCTCAATATAACAAATAATAATTGCTTTATTAGAGTACACTTGAGTGGAAAGGTTGGTATAATTAAATAGAAGAGAATCTTCCATTTTTGGTATGAAAATTCAAGTAGATGCTACTACTACAGACCTCCAGAAGACAAGAGAGTATGTATAAAGTGTTAGCAGCCATCAAAGCATTATCTGTAGTAAAACTATTGAAGCTATCTACTAACGGAAATAGAATCACAGAATGGTTTGGGTGGAAGGGACCTTTAAAGTCATCTAGTTGCAGGACCCCTGTTTGTGAGCAATAAAAACAGAAATGGTATTTTGATGTTGAGTACCATTGTTTCTTACAAGTTCAAGAAACCCAGCAGAGAGAACTTCACCAAGCAATTCTTTGTTAGCATAACATTTGACCTTGTATCTCTCTGGAAATCACACAACTTTGCTAATGCAGCCCTTACAGAATTAATCAAACAAATAGTTAGCCCCTAGTTACTGTGAACCCAGCCAATTATGAGCAGCACTGAAATTTGTCACTGGCATGTCCAACTACGTTTTCCAGCATAAAGATCAACACCACTGTGTGGAAATGAGGCCCCACTCTCCCACCTGCATGGCTTGGACACTAGACTGGGCTCACCAGTAAAGCCAACATTTCTTAGAACAAGTATTCTCAAAAAAGAAAGGCTTTCCTCCTGGGTCCCCATTACCTGTTGCATTAAACCAGCCAGGATGCAAATGTCTTTTGCCCTCTATTTTGACTAGCAAAGCCAGAATAAATGATTCCCTTAAGAGTTCAGAGCTCTTTATTTGCTACTCTGCTCTACTGCACAAGATCCACAGTTCAGTAAAGGCCAAACTTACTGCCTGGAGTAGTTTGAGAAGCTGGAGCTGGAAGCTGCCTATGCACTTTGTTTCTCAGCTTCCAGGATCCAGGGAAAGATGACGAGGTTACAGACAGCAGATGCTAACAAATAAGTAAGGCAAAGAAACCCTAAAAATAGATATACAACCACTGGCTGAGCTCCTGAAAGGTTAAGTGACAGCTAAACTCAGTTCTGAATTTGGTTTGAAGTCATCAGCTCCTTTACCTGTTCTCATCCATTCCACTTACATCATGCTGTGGGTTTTCAATGCTCACAGAGACCTGTTTCCTGCAGTTGAGTCTCTCTTTTACTCATTTTACTCATTTTGCTCATAATCTCCAGTCAACAAATGTATTTTTGAGGCTCTCCCACTGCAGTTGTGCACTTCCACGAGGATAAAATCCATACTCACCACAGTGCTCGGTGGAAAAATTTCTCTGGCGCTGAAATGCTGCTCTCTAACCATGACAGAGCAAATCAAAGCCATGGTATGTAACAGTAATAGTTGATCTCTTGTCAAAGTAGACATTTTGCCCAAATTTCAACATGTTTGTCACTACCAAGATTCTTATAAAAGCAGATAAAATAAATTATGCTCCACAAGCATGAGATTGACTGGAGGCTACTTGGCCCTGGACCTCAAAATTCCCAAAAACCCACAAGATACCTTAGCAAGCCCCGTGACACACAGTACTTACAGCTTTTGCAAAAATGACCATCAGCTCAGGAAACTGGTGGGTAAGGAGGGCCAGCATGGCAGAAAAGGAACACAGGCCTGCTGTGAAATGGATGAAAAAGGGAAGTTCCTTCTGGGGGTAAACGGAGACTTCGTGAAATGCTGAAAGGAAGAAATGAAGAATGTTGACATTTGATAATCAAGAACTGCTTTCTGAATTATTTAGGGCCTTGTAACTAATTTCTGAACTTTCAGAAGGAAAGACTCCTGCTGCACATCTTAAGTTCCAGCATTTTAACTTCTTAAAAATTTTTCCCCTACATCACATGCTTGCTTTCATTATGAAGAGTCTTCACATATTGGTTCTCATTATTAATATTCTCTTCCCAGGCTTCTTTTTCACTTGCATGGGCTTTATTTTTGAAGTATTTAATCAGGCTCAGTTTTTGGTACCTACTTTTCTAACAGGACAGAGGAAACACCTGTAAAGTTCACAAGCTGTCAAAATTACCTGAACTAACTAAACAGTTCAGGTGTTTTCGACTCTCTAGAGCTCTAATCCTGTTACCTGAAAAGAACAATCTCCACACATCTCCACACCCCTAAGAAGCTGAGCAAGTACAGAACAACCAGCATGCTGCATACACATATATTTCCTAGTACTTCTTGAAGACTTCTGGTTGTAGACTACAGTAAATCTGTTCAGAGCAGCTGACAGAGCAGACCTCAAAGAAAACAGTGCCAGGACAGGGTTATAAATTCTGTACATAGCAGTTCCTTGCAATTTCCAATCTCTGGTAACAAAATCCAAAGCAGGTGATTAGCCAGGCTAAGGGTGGCATGTGGAGCTTTCAGCACTCACAACACTACTACTGGTCACTCGCCGAGGACCTGCTGGCTGAATTTGCAATTACTGCCTCTGGATACCCCAGCTCTGATTTCTATCTAATGATTTCAGAAAAGTTTTAAAAGAAGAAAAAATAGTTTCTATAGACATAAGTAATCATAAAAGGACTGCCCTTCTTGACAAGCTGTTCTTAAAATCTAACACAAACCCAAAATTATAAATGAGCCTTTTTTTGTAAAATGAGAAAATACAATTGTATTCTTTCTTAAACTGAAGTCTGTGGAGGAAGGAGACACTTTACCCTCCCAGTTACTGCTTCTGAATGCTAACACATTAAAGCACCATTAGAAGAGTAAACCCAGCAAAAGTGTCTTGTACTCTTGCAATTCATTAATGGCAAAGTACTCAGGGTTTGTTTTGGTTTTAATGATATGATTTTGGAGCACAATTACACAGACTATTTGGAGATCCATGTCTAACATCCATCAGAGATGTTAATGGTACCCAGAGATTTATATTATATAGAAACTCACCTCATTTCTAAAACATGGAGCAATAAAATTTAGTAAAGTGCTTAAAAAATAGCAATTAATTCTTTTTGCAGTAGCTTTTCCTACACTGGGAAATTAATACCAAATTCAAGATAGGTAAAGACAACTAAAGCTAATTCTATACGTTCACAGACATTTGAGAAGTGTTACTCATCAGACCAATCCAGGTTTTTTGAATCAATGGTTTGGTCAACATTATTTTAAATAGATAATTTTTTTAAAAATTAAGTGTCAAGATTTCTCGAAGAAGTACGGCAATAAAAGTGTTAAGATGATTTTATTTATAGGTAGTTCTATATTTAAAACAAAACAGGAATGCGTGAGTGATCCTGTTGAAATATCTGCATGTGTTGGTGTTTAATTATGCTGGGAAGTCTACAATTTAGGGTTAGTTGCTAACCAAGGAATTCCTTGTGCAATATCCTGCATAAGTGAGAAATGAGTAATTTAAAGCAGTCTGGGGGCAAATTTAAATTACACATTTTAAATATAACTTCAGGCTTTTAAATAGAAACAGGTCTGTGCAGTTTTCCTTCCACAGCTGTGGTCTCTGTAGGGCTGCTGGTGCTTTTGCAGTAGCCCTTTCCAGTCCCAGGGGAATTGTGTTTCTTCAAGATATAGAAGTTCAACCCCAAAGGAATTCAATTAAGATGTATAATTAGCAGCTCAATTCTAATCTAAATTAATGTTATTTTCCTAAATATCATGAGTACAGGCAGTAAAGATATAGTCTATTTGTAGAAAAAAACATGTAGGCCTATCACTGCATAAAGTAACGTTGAAGCAAAGAGCAGCTGGAAAAGACTTACTTTTCAGTATCAAATGTTAGTATAAATCCATAGAAATACATGTAGAAAAAGTTCCAGGAGGCAGCCAGCAGATCAATACAGACCACTGAATTAATGACAGAAAGCAACACATCTTCTATGAACCTACAGGTTACCCAAAGATTCTCTGCAAGGTCACAGACAGGTTTTACTGGATACCCAGTGCAGAACTGGAACCATGGATTGACTCCTTGCTACAACCAAACCATGAATTCTTTTAAAAGCAATTTTTAACAAATGGTCAACTTTGTTGTTCTCAAGGTTGGCCAGACTCGGTCTGAATGTACCACACACAGATTTAATCTCTGAAGGACTTAGGTTATTACTGCATCAAGCTGACATTTACCACACACACAAGTCAAGTGCTTCAGGATCTGCTGGGAGGGACATCAACAAATAGCTGAATCCCCTTCACAGGAAGCTCAAACTAAAAAAATCACAGTAAGGTAAATACAAAATACCACAAACTGAACGTGTCCTTAGCCTGTGTTTTATTATCATTACTGCTTAGAAACCACTTACTTGGCAACAGTTCTCTGTCTGCTGTTTCTGTGCAGCTCGGGTAGGGATAGAAAAGATGTCCTTTCTCTAATGGGTATGGGATCATCCTAAATGCTGCAAAAAGGGTGAGTGATATTAGATCTGAATCTAACCAGGCAACCAGCTTCTCACGAAGAGAGCCAACCATGTCTGAGGGGGGTAAAGGCAGAGAGACTATCTACTGTACAGAAAAGAATAAAAGGAGATACTTACTGCCTTCCCATGTGCAGTGCAGTAGATTGAGAGCCCCTTCTATCCTCTTCCAGTGCTGGAGGTGAAAAAAAGCATATGCTACTGCCTCACTATCCCCCCGCTTCAGAATGTGCTCTGGAGGCAGCACCAGGCTCTTCATTTCTAGTAAATACTGAAAGGAAAAATGGAAAGTACACCTGGTTACACAGAATGTTCCAAAACCTTTGATTGTGAAACATAATTGATCATTTTAGGCGTAACTGAGCGCACAAGGGGCCAGGGCCAGCTTCTGTCACACAGCAGCCAGGCTGCACTAAGTGAGAAATGAAAAGCAGCAAAACACACTCCCTGTGTGTATGACTCTTAAATTAGGCTTTCACACACACCAAAAAAAAAAAAAAATCAAGAAAAAACATACAGCTTCAGTAAGACAAATAAAAATACATTCTTGTGGAACAGACATTAAGTATAATGCTGCAGGTGCAACACCAATGAGGGACAAATTTAGGCTGATAAAAAACCCCAAACCAGCAGTATTTTTGCTCATTACTTCATCACTGAAAGTTTCAATGTAGGTGGTTGAGGACTTGTTAGCTCTGAAGTATGAGCAGAAAACCTGAAAGTGTCAGCGTGCTAACCAAAAGAAGAATAATAAACCAAACCCAGGAAAATCTTTCATGTGGTCTTATTGGGCTACCACAAAGTATCTTTGATTTCAGATTTTTTCAATTTCAGCCCTCTTCCTCCATCAGCAGAAAATATGATGCTCAGAGGGGTCAAAGAACACAAGGATTAATCATTTCCTATTTCTTTGCAACACAGAACATGCAATTTTTTTAATGTACCATGTTTTCTCATGGCACATTAAAAAAGTCAGGTATTCATTTGAACTTAGCTTTTAAAAACAGATGGCTATTTTTTACAAGAATGAAATGACAGTTTCAGCTCTAGTATTTACCTGTGAGCTGTCCTCTCCTACCATGTAGTGTCTCATTCAATAACAGCCAAAGTTAATCCACATCTTTGATCAACGTAGCTGGCAATTCCTTGGAGTGTCCCCCAAAGTGTAAGAATGCAGCTAACTCACCGATTTATTTCAGCAGATGCCACAAACTATGAGATTATTTACTAATCCAGTTTGAGGGCTTAACTTTTCCCATTCAGACTCTTCAAGGAATGTAGGAGGGGTTGTGCCCCAGCCAAATAAAGCACATTTGCTGCCTGGCTAGGTTCTTCTCTCAGTGCCTTGGGCCTGCACTCCGGAGGGTAATATTCTTGCTAATCCTCTCTAATCCTCTTCATTTTATTTTTTTTTAACACAGTAAAGGATCACTCACACAGCACTGCTGTGGGAAAATGGTCTCAAATATCTGACCCCTGACCCAATCCTCATGCTCTCCACAGTGCCCACTTTTCCATTATGCTAACTGGGAATATAAACCCAGCAGTGGTGGTGAAGCTCCTCTGAAAGTATTGCCACAACACACCAATGCTCAACTCCAGGCTTTGGCTCTCCCTGAGCCCACGTTACCACATAAACAGAAAAATTCCAGTCTGGCAGGTTTTCACATCCATGTTTATGCATAAATCAGGGAAGGTGTCAGTACTGAAGGTGTCTCAGTACTGAACTGAAGGTTTTGAAGTCTTTATACACAATAAAAATCTCTAAGATATTCAGAAGATGACTGCAAAAGACTGTTTCATAAAGTACCACAATGCAGTTACAGATTTCTAATTTGTAATGGCTTAAGAGGACCACTTTTCTAGCTGGTTCTAACTTTCCAAACAAACCCCAATCTTGTAAAAGCAAGACAAAGAGAAACAATTTATTTTCCTTATGCAAAATGTTCTGAACAAAGACAATCACTTTCATCCAATGTGCGAACAGAGGGATTTCCTGCTTTACACACTCCTTTTTAGTCTGTGGGATAGAATAGAGTAGAAATTCAAAGATCAGATTTTCTTCTCCCTCTGTGATCCACTAGGCAAGCTGCTTCACTTCTCTGCCCTTATTCACTTGTTTGCTCTGACCATAAACATTTCAGAGTTCTAAACAGCCTGCACCAGTAAAATTCTGCTCTGTCATCTCACCAATTGGTGCCTCAAGGCAATGTTGTAATAAAAAACCCATGAAGAATGGATAGATGTACAATTAGAAGAGAAAATCAAGTTACTGAAACCCGGAATCAGTTTCTGCATGTGTCTGCAGAACTACAGACCATATTTTAACAACAGCCTGTTTGAAACCATCTCTGACTTCTTTAAAAGGTATATGAGGTTCCAGAAGCAACTGGAGGATACCCAAAACAAAAGAACTTTTAGATAATGATAATGCATTATAATCTTCTGCCCCTAAAGGCAGGGGCTAAAGAAAAATCTGTCTGAGACTGTCTGAAATGAACTTGTTAGGCTCTTGATCAGTCATGCAAAGAAGCAGCAATTTCTCCCAGCAATTAGCTTCCTCAGTGCACATTCTATTGGATTGGACAGGCAGACAGAACGGAGCGGCTGGATCATTCCAGCCTCCCCAGCAGCAGCCACTGGGGCTCCAGCATCATTTGCAGAGGATTAGACCCTGCACCGAGCCAGCCTCCTGCTTCAAGGTTCATACTGCAAGCATCCCTAGTACAGTAAAAAGCAATGCAAGACTTTATTTTCACCCAATGTTCTGTGCAATCTGCATTTTGATGCCAGACATTAAATTACAGCCTGTGGTGATACAGACTCCTAATCTTGTTTACACGTGGATGAAGAAAATAAGTGACTGCAGATCTTTCAATAACCATGGAGCCATGGTTGGAAGCCCAGCAGAATAAAGGGGTTTGGAATACTAGAGTGATTATTGTTTGGAGAACTTAATTTGGCTTTAGGGACTTGGAAGCAGGGTCCTGGAATGAGATATCTTTAAGGTCCCTTCCAACACAAACCATTCTGTGATTATTTTATGACTTTAAGTATCTACATTTATATTTATTAATGTCCACCCTTATTGAGAGTAAAGGGCCTTTGGTAATACATTATTGGAATTTCCAATGAGTTAGGAAATTTGAAGTTTAAATTTTTGTGCAAAAAACCCTGTTTGAACATCAGCTATTATTTAAAAAAAAAATCTGGCCACAAAATATTTATTATATAAATACTAATGTTTTTAACAACTCCATAGCAGGAGTTATAACCAAATTCAAGAAAATATGGGGCTAGAAAGGCTCCAATAACAAAACTACATTATAATATGGTATTTTTCAGAATACATTACAAGTGGTCCAGTAGGAAATAAAATACTCTTACCTTTGGAACATGAGGGTTAAATTCCACAGCTCTGTGAATTGCTTCCACAGCATTAATTTCTGCTGTACTAAGTCCTCTCCTGGAGGCAGTTTCTGGGGAGAACCTGAAGGGAAAAACCCACCTTGAACAAAAGTAATAAATAACAAATGCTAACCAGGTGTTTATTTGCACTGCAAGCTTAGAGTTCATTAAAAATTGGCTGATTTATCAAGAAAGATAAACAAACCCCTCTAGGAGAAAAATGTTCATGTTAAGTCAGGTATCTTGACTGCTACCCATGACATATGACACATGAAAATTCATGTTGATCCTGACTTGCAGCTCCCTGTTACAGCATCACCTGCTGGGAGGTGGGGCTGGGATCAGACCACAGTGAAATGCCAGCATCAACTATCACAATTATCCAAAACACAAATCTCAAGCAAAACATTGGAAACAGAATTTACACAAAAATGGCCAATACACGGGTTTGTGAAAAACATCCTCCCCTGTACCAACTTCATGGATGCTTAAAATAGTTTTAAATTGTATTTCATTACACACACAAATATATGTATATATATATAAATACACTCAACTTGCTCTTAGAAATGTAATTGCTACATAATTAGGCATAACCAGGGATGTAAAAAAGACAAAAAAAATTAAATAATCCTAAAGACTAAATAATTTAAATAATCAAAGCAAAGATTTCTTTACAGATTAGAAGTAATTTTAAAACATAAAGGATTTAGACCTTTTTCCTTCATATTTTACATCAAACCCAAGATATAGGAACAAACCATTGTTTTCACACATGTCCTTGCTTACCTTTCTGAAACCGCTCTGGCTTTTAGCAGAGCTGCTGTGTAACATATTGCTGCTGATTTGGGAAGACTGATATCTGTGATAAAATAAAATAATTAAGCTGTAAGATTCTAAGGCAATACAAACATTTTAAACCCACATCCTTTGAGTTAAAGATTTTTCCTTGGGTATGGGAGACAATGAATTTGACATCTGGAACATTTCAGCTGTGATTAGAAACTCTGAATTTCTTTTTTCTGACAGTCACCAGTCAGTCTCAGATTGAAAACTCCAAGTTTTATTTAGGTCATAGTCACCTTTTGTTTCTTAATGTACCAACACACTGAAACAGAATCCAAAGAGAAATGTGCATATAAATACACTCAAGAACAGAATGCACTTCCTGCATTAACCCACAAAGATCTAAAGTCAGCTTCTGATCTTTACTTAATTTTGCAACTCTACATTAACACAGTTTTGTACAATACTGAGAGGCTGACCAGAACCTGACTGCAAAAAATTACATTACAGACAGGTAGATGAATTTTAACAAAAACGCAATTTCCGTTCTCCTGCAGCTCCAAGGGGGAAAATTCTGTTAGTTGTAGCTTTGTAGCATATCTGAAGCCAAGTTTGAGCTGACAATTACAGATTAGAAGGTTAGCACTCCACAGTGCAAGTTTACTTTAAAAGCAGACAAAGTCTGGGGTCTGATTCCCAAGTACCACGTTGTGTATAGTCAGAACGTTCTTGCTTTTTTTGTAAATCCCATCCTGGGCCTGTCCATCACTTACTACAAGTCTGGCTGTTGTGTCAAGCCAAACACAGGGGTGCTGCAGGGAGTTTAAAGCTTGTACTCATTTTTCCAGATGCTCAGAAAAAAATCAGCAATGCTTTCTTAAGAAAGTGTCACAATTCCTGGTGTTAACAGAAAGAAGCACTGGGCAAAGGGCAAATGGTTTTCATAAACTAAAAAGAATCCACCCAGAAGAGGATCAAGGAATGGGAGCAGGGTGCTAGGCTGGCCATGGACAAGTGGCACAGGATTTGGGCAAAGATATGATACTTTTGATTCCCTGAGGTGATAAAGAATCGACATAAGAGAGAACTCAACAACTTCTGACAATAACTTTCATAAAATACTGCTATGTCCCCTCCATTCCAAAGGTGATTTAAGACCCTGCTTTGACAGCAGCCTTTTGTACACTCATGAAGTGAGCACTATCCAGGTGGCAAAACTGAGGGTAATAAAAAATAAGTATATACTTTATCAACCTCTATTTAGACTTACACAATATCCGAAAGCTACTAATCAAGACAGAAAGTGAAAGCAAGCAACACCATTTGATGCACACCAGTGATCTCTGGCAGCAGCATGTTTGCACACTGCTAATCCCTGACAAGCAACCTCAGTATTACAGAAGCACAAGGCCAAGCCTGGAAGATGACAAAAAGGAAAATGACCTTTTCCAGCTTATTTACATCAATTACTTACAGGGCTATGTGCTGGCTGAAAAAGGCTGATGAATTTAGGCATATCCAGGGATGTAGAAGAGATTAATTAAAATAATCCTTGAATTGAAGCAAGGATTTCTTTACAGATTAGCAGTAACTTAAAAACACAGAAAGTAATTCATATGCAATTTAGTTTGCCTAAATTTGACCTCAGCAGTCAAAAGGAGAACTTGACCTGCACCACATTTGTTACTGAAGGGAGTCTGCTCACCTTGCTGAGGTCATGGTCACTCTTGCCTGTGGACAGACATCCCCTGCCCATCTCACTTATTCTTTTATTCAAAAACACCCACATTTTCCAACAGGCATCACTTACCATCATACTTGGCTAAAACTGCCTGGACATCTGCATACGCCTGTAACTCCAGAAGGGCCTCTAGGAGGTTTTCATGGATATTCAGCATACTGAGAAGTGGAAACTCTTTCATCAACTGCAAATCAGTAAAGAGAAATAAATTACATGTAGAATTGCAGTTGAATAATTGAAATACCTAATAGAAATCAGTACAATAATCTAGGGCTTTTTAATGTCCTTTTGTCTCAGAGCGTTAGAGACTGGCACGGAAGCAGCGTGAAAAGAACTGCATAATTCCATAAAATCACAGAATGGTTTGGGTTGGAAGCAATCAAAGCTCATCTCATTCCAGCCCCCTGCCACAGCTGAAGGACAGGGACATCTCCTACAAGACCAGGTTACAGAATGCCCCATTCAATCATGTGTGAACTCATGGGAAAATAATTCAATGAGATTAATTATGATGCCTAGAAATGAACTTAAACCCATCAATTAGAACAATGTGATTGAAAACAATTGTTAACTCAGTTTTTTTTACTTTTACTTACATCTCTCATCATTTTTACTGCTTCTCGTATTCTCCCAAGTTTCCTGGCACACATAGCTAGTCTCCTTTTCACATACACCAATACATTGGTGTCTCTTCCTGATTACAAAGACAAAAAGTATTAGTCTATCAGCTTCAATCCTTACCTCTCCTAATTATAACTTTATTTTTACATTTCTGCTCACACAAACCCAGGAGTTCATGTGATTCAAAGTCCTTACTCAGCTGTGCTTCATGCTGGGGGCTCTGGGAATGGCAGTTCTGAGATTTTCTATAAATCATTTCTCCTGCTTTCAGAGCCTGCTTGAAATATTTCTCAGCATCCACAATAGTTGTTGCTTCTTCCTCAGCCAGGAGGACATATGCAGTAGCACAACTGAAATAAGAGAAATAACAAGACAACATAGCAAATCATATCACAGTTATGGGTGAAATTCTTTGGTTTATGCTACAGAGTATTTTTAATTCCTTTACAGGAGTGGCATCTGTGAATTCCAAATACAGTTCTACCATGATACCATCCCTGAAATACATGATCTTATATCCAACTAGGACTGCTCCATAGCTGAATATGATTTCTCATTTGTTATTGCCACTAACACAGCGATTTAAGAAAAAAAAGCTGCACAAAAGATGTTTTTAGTAGAAGAGTTCAATATTCCAGGGCAATTTACAGCCCCATGTGCAATTCCCAGTCTGAAGAGTCCCCCTTAAGCATTCAGAACTTTGCTGTAAGTGAATTATTAGATGAAGAAACTGATAGTGTGCTCAGTATCCTTCCACTTAATCCTTCACAACAAGAAATACAGCAACTGAATGTACAAACTTACTCATTGTTCAACTCCAGAGCTTGATACGCCGCTTTAATCCGGGCCTGCGGGTTCCTCTCCCGCCACGCTTTCTGCATAACTGTGGAAAACACATGGAAAGGCTGTTAGGGACACAGACACCTGTGAAAGACCTGGGAGCCAGCAGAGGCAACACTGGCTGCTTGGAGCCAGCCCTCATTAACATTCCCTTCCAGTCTGAAAATTCCTGTTTGCTGTATGATTGTTATAAGGAAGAACAAACCTGTTTGAATTTCAGCCTGCTCCTACCATAAGCATCAAATTCTTCCAACAGCTCATTACAGCCCAAATTTAGTTTGAGAAAGCAACACCACCAGGAAGATTCCTCACTGACCATTTCAGAACTCCTACACAGAGCACAGACACAGCTTACATAACCAGGCAGATGTACAATTTCTAAATTGCTACAGATTCTTGGAAATGCTTCCCAAGACTTGTTGAAAGCTTGGCAGGAGCAATTGTTAAACACAGGTTCTTGCATAGACCTGCAAGGAACTTTAATTTAAGCTTTCAAACAGAACTTCAAAGGAAACAGTGATGGAGTAAGTGGTGTCTTGCACAGGTAGAGTTTTATACTTAAATTAAGCAGCTGTGGCTGCCCCTGGATCCCTGGAAGTGTCCAAGGCCAGACTGGACAATGGGGCTTAGAGCACCTGGGACAGTGGAAGGTGTCCCTGCCAAGGCAGGGGGTGGAGCTGGATGAGCTTTAAGGTCCCTTCCAGCCCAAAATATTCTGGGATTCTGTTTCATGATCATTTTTCAACAACTGTCAGATCATGAAGGGTTAACAATTTATTTTTAAATTTACAAAGCACATTTGAGTGGAATCACAAGGCAAAGCCAATTCAAGATATACATTTATCAGTTTATTTGGTTTGGGAACAAGTAAAAAGGGTGAAATCTATTCAGAACTGTCCTTTGAACTACAACTTGAATTCAAAATTATTTCAATGCAATAACTCTAAACTCCTCCTACCATGCTTCCATTTGGTAAAACTGGAAAACACAAACTGAAAACCAGCTTCAAGGAAAACAACACATTCAGAGCTACCACTTTCTATGCAGGATTATTAACTTTCACACTAAAAACCAGTCCTGAAAGAACTCCAAAACCTTACATTCATGGAGTTCTATATCTGGCCTATCTCAAGGACGATAAGAAAACTGAAGAATCTATACATGTTTCTTTTGGAACAAAACCTCCTGCTGTCCAGCAAGAATAACGTGGAAAAATATTTGAGTTTTCTTTCGGAAACAAAATATTAGTCTTGGCTCAGTGAGCGAGACAATTCACTCCCTTTTGTGAAATAAAAACATCTTTCATATCAAACATGTCACAGCCAGCTGACAAGGAACACCTCTGGAATGTGACAAACTGACAATAATTCACACCCACTCTGACAATAACCAGGTAAAGAACATTTTCTGCACTGAACATGTGGAACACAAGGAAAAAAATCTGGAGACTGCACTGTTCATTACTAAGGTTTAAATGAGACCACATTTTGGCTGTTGAGAATATAATCCGGGTTTGCAATATTGTGTTAATTATTTGAAATGTGTGCGATCTTAAAAAATATCAGGACTGTGACAGCACTAAAGTTGTAGAGAATGCACAACATAAAACAACATCTTCCCACTGAGTTTCACTAAACACTAAATTTCAAGGGGCTTGGAGCAGCCTGGTCTAGTGGAAGGTGTCCTTGCCCATGGGAGGGGGTGGAACTGGATGGGCCTTAGGACCCCTCCCAACCCAAACCACTCTATGATCCTCTACATCTATTAAACCTCTTGAGTAGTTGAGAAAGGCTGTAGTTTCAGGAAATATTTGGCAATAACTTGCACTACTTTCAAGTTCACTAAAAGCACAGCCTTGACCCTGTCCAAGACTTGCACACCTTACACACACATCAGTACCTGTGTCTGAAGGCCGGAGGGCATCCGTGTCACATGTGAAAAAGGTCTGATGATCTTGAGCAGACAAATTCATGTCATAGTAGGTAAGAGGCTCCTTCCCAGTCACCCACATGTACCTAAAAGAACACATTGCAGTAAGAGGCATTCATAGCAATTAGCAATGCTGATATCAAGGTGATATCTGATGTGCCTAGTACAGAAAATCTGTAATAAAAGACTAAAGCTTCCAACACAAAGTTTCAAGTACTACTGTTCAATAACCTGTAAAGTTCTAAACAACTTGGGAACTGGCTTCCTAGAAAGCAGCTTCTCCCATGAAGTAACACTAGGAAACTTACAATATAGTTTAATAAAAGAGAATTTAGATTGACAATCACTGTTTCAACCTCTGAATAAAGGGTTTTTTCCCTACTTTACGCTCAAAAAGCCGTGATGTTGTAGTAATATTTTTGTTCTTAATATTGAAACTGCCAAAGCTTGGCTTGGTGCCTTTAAAATACAGGATTGGTATCAATCACCCCTATAATCTTGCAGGTCTCCAGCTGTCTCCTGACATTACCAGTGCAAGCTCTGTGAAGAAGTCATGTGCATGCCCCTGATTAAATTTAAAAATATGCAGTGGAAAGCAAGAAAATTAATACCTGCTATACTCTGCCCCTCTGAAAAGATTGAGAGGATTTCGCCACACTTTGCACTCTGAGGAACAACAAAATAAAAGTATTTTTTAAATTAAAAGCACAGGAAATACTACCTTGACATTAAAATGCAGTAATGCAAATCAGTTGTGTTTTCAAAACACAACTTTAATTTTATTATTTAATTTTTAATTTAAGCTTTAATTTTATTATTATGCAATCATCACCTTCATAAACTTCTGCTATTCCATAAATATTTTTGCTCCCCAACATTGCTGGGGTACAAAAGCACAGAGCAAGAAGATTAAGCAATGCATGCACACTCACGCAATATTTATCTTCAGAACAGTAAATAACTAATGTTACTGAAACAGTTTTAGCTAAATGTATAACATTTTCTAAATCATATCTTTAACAAGGAATGGTTTAGAGTGAAAAACCATTATTATTTAGTTTATTTTTAGCACTACTAACAAAACACTTTGTAAGATGAAGGTTTTGTCCATTTTGTACAAGCACTTGAAAGCCGTTAAAAGCCAACTCAAAGCTTAAGGAAAGCTCCTGGGACACATCAGGAATCACCTGGCATGTTCTGCCTGCTGCTCTCACTCTCCCCGGCCGAGAAAGCTGCTGGGGCTGGGGGGCTGCCCTCTGCACCCCCAATGAGAGGCCTCAAGTGGCTCACAGAAACCTGCTCGATGAAAGATGTGCCGTATTTTCGGAAGTGCCACCACTCAAACACCTGTCACAGGAGAAAAAAGCACCACAAAGTTCCTTAGGTGACGCCTTCCCAGCAGAGATGAGGGACGAAGAGCGATCGCACCGAGTCCATCCCCTTGCCAATGACCCGGGGTGGAACTTATCTCCACACAGAGTAACACCAATGATCTACTTTGGCCTGCCTTGTCGTGCAGGATCACTCACATAAACATGAAAGAGATTGGAAAAAAACAGCCATATTTTAGTCAAACGTTATGTTCCTCCCTCCCAAAGTCATTAGGATAACTCCAAAACCCTTTCAGAAGTACCTGTACAGAGAAACTGTGAACAGAGGCAAAAAACCATTATACCCTCTTTTCTGGTGAGGATATTTCAAGCTGCAGCCCTACCTGCAGTACCAAATTTATAGTATTCAACAGAAGTGTATTTTTTTCATTTCACAAAAATAATCTAAAAGAATAAAGGATAAAATGGCCCATTAAACTGAGATGTTCTGCTAACCAGAAAGAGAGAGGCTAACAAAGAAACAAGGCTAAGTTAACAGCAACGACAGTCACTTAGCAGAAATTCTGGGCCAAAAATATTACCATCTCTTTTTGAAGCTATTAAAATACCAGCATATCACAAGCCCTCCAGGACTACAGCAAACTGTCAGCCCTGGACCAGCCTGGATCCTGTGCCTGTCTGCTCTCTCTGGTGAGCAGTGACAGGCCCCAGGGAGCAGCTGGAGCTGTGCAGGGCAGGTAAGTCATTCCAGTATTCCACACAAGTTATCTTCTCAGACTCATACAGTCCCAACACACAACACACACAGCAAAAGAGCTGCAACAGTACATCAGAGAAGTTCCTTCCCAGCACAAAGGCACCCTCTAGAGTCTGATATTCACTCCCTTTACCCCTCATAAAGTCATCTGAGAGGTGGTAAAGTTGTTTAAAAACAAAGAAGTGGCTACTTACAAATATCAGTCCAGATATAAAAGATGAAGTTACTGTCAGGGCAAAGTAGAATTTTGGAGTCAAAGTGCTTAAGAACATGGTCACTGTTAAGAGAAACAAAACCAAAGACTTAATAAGTAGAATTGAAAAAGATAAATAGCTTGTCTATTAAAGAATGCCAAATATCATGCAAATACATAATACACTATAGCCCTAGCAGCTTTATAATGCTACTTTTAGGGGAACCCTCACCATGTATTATTTTGTTTGTATCTACCTGTCACAGCCAATTTTTATATCCCACCAAAAAAAAAAATCACTGTACATTTCTAGACAGACCATCTTACAGTTTCACCCATACAGTGGCTGGTGAACCACAAGAAGCCAATTTAATATATTATTTCATTTTAAGACAAAATCATCCTGTTCTAATACAAGTTTATATTCAGTGCTAACAAACGTTTTGCACAGACCTCTCCCTCCTGCTATCGAGAGCACAGTGCAGAGAATGCAATTATCCAGTGGTGTTCTGACCATGGTTTGGACTCAAACTGCACATCAGCCTTGTCACCTGCCACCAGCGCAGGCTGGACAGGGACAGGGCAGGGCTCCAGCCTGACAGAGCCCCCGGTGGGAGCACGCAGCAGCACCGGGGCAGTGCCTGGGCTGCTTTCAGCTGCCCCAGGACTGCCCAGTCCTCGGCCGTGTCCCTAACCCTGGGGTTAGGTGCAAGCTCAGTGCGCCACCGAGCGAAGGTGGGATGCACGACCTGCCTGTAGGCACGGCTGGGACAGACCCACAGAACCAGAATATCAATTAGTTTGGAAACGACCTTATCGAGTCCAACCCGTGACCAATTTCCACCTTGCCAACAAGACCAGAGCACTGAGTGCCAGGTCCAGTTCTCCCCTGGGTACCACGATGGGTGGGGACTCCACCACCTCCCTGGGCAGCCGATTCCAAAGCCTGACCAATCTTTTCATGAAGAAATTCCCCCTGATGTCCAACCTGAACTTCCCCTGGCACAGCTGGAGGTCCTGTCCTGCTCCCTGGAGCACAGTCCGACCTGGGGCTGTCTCCTCCTGTCAGGAGTTGTGCAGAGCCACAAGGTCCCCCCTGAGCCTGCTTTTCTCCAGGCTGAGCCCCTTCCCAGCTCCCTCAGCCGCTCCTGCGGCTCCAGACCCGTTTCCTTCTCTGGACAGACTCCAGCCCCGCAAGGTTCCTTCTGAACGGGTCCCAGACGCGGGCACGGCAGGTGCGGAGCCGCCCGCCGGTGCGCGGCACAGCGGGACAGTCCCTGCCCGGTGCCGCTGGACCGCCGACATAGCCCGGACACAGCTGGGGACCCCACGGGCAGGGTCTGCCTCCCCCCGGCGCGCCGTTCCCCCCTGCCGCCCTCACCGGCCGCCAGGCCGTCCCGGAGCCGCACCGGCACCCGCAGCACCGCGTACAGGAGCCCGAGCCCGGCGGCCGCGGCCAGGAGCCCGCGGGCCCAGGGCGTCGCAGCCCGCCGCCGCAGCTGCTCCCAGCGCCGGAACGCCGAAGCCGCCCCGGGGCACGGCGGCCCCCGGCCGCTCGCACCGCCGCCGCTGCCGCTGCCCTCCGCCATCACAGCCGGCAGGGCACGCCGGGACAGGGGCGGGACAGCACCGGGGCGGGGCTCCGCCAGCGCGGGCAGCCCGCTCACCGACCCCATCGCTGCTGCTCCAGGGCGAAGCGCGGACCGATCGTCCCCCACACCACAGCTGGGATGCCCGGAGGCTCCGGGGGTGCGGCAGGTCCGGTACCGCCGTGCTCCCGGGAGCGAGAAACCTGCCCGTTCCTGTGATGGTGCCAGCACGGCGTCTGCCCGCAGCTAATATGGCGGCAGCCGCGCTTCCGGGCTACGGCTCCCGGCCGTCTCAGCCCACGGGGCACGCCGGGACGACCAGGCGGGGCTCGCGTGGGCAGCCCGTTCGTCCCGTCCATCACCGCTGCTTCTCCCGAGCATATCCCACACGATGATCGGGAGCCCCAAGGGCTCCGGGAGGCGGTGGTTCTGTCATCCGGTACCGCGAGAACCCACCCGTTTCTACCATGGCGGCCACGCGGCGTCTGCCCGCAGTTAAGATGGCGCTGCCAGCGCGTTCGGTCCGCCGCCCAGCGCTCCCGGCATGCACTGCGCGGGGCCGGGCACACAGCTGCCAAGATGGCGGACCTGGAGGAGCGGGTGTCGGACGAGGAGAAGGTAAAGGAAGGGGGTGGCCGCCTCTCCGCCGTGGGCCTGCGCCGCTGCCCCCGGGAGGGCACTGGGTGGGGAGCGGCGGGCAAGCTCGCCTGGTGCCGGTGTGCCGGCCTGCGAGTGCTCTGGGGTGGGCGGGCTCCCGAGACCACCGGGCCGCCCCCGCCCGGCTGAAGGACCGGCTGTTCCTTACCAGCACTTTGCCTTCCGAATTCCTCATTGCTTTCCGAATTCCTCATTGCCTTCCCATTTCCTCATTGCCTTTCGATTTCCTTATTGCCTTGGTGCAGCTGATGGGTCTCGGCCAGTCGTTTTGCATGAAAATGGACATAGTCTCAACCTAAACCAGGGCAGGTGTCGGTTGGACATCAGGAGGAGCTTCTTAACAGAAAGGACAATTAGATATTGGAAGGGGTTGCTCAGGGAGGTGGTGGAGTCCCAATCCCTGATCAAGGAAGGACCGGACGTGGCACCCAGTGCTCTGATCTTGCTGACAACGTGGGAGACAGTCACAGGTGGATCGCTTGGTGATCTTGAAGGTCTTTCCCAACCAAAATAATTTTGTGAAAATTTGTTTTCTGTGTTGCTTTTCCCAAATCAGCAAAGTAACCAGCGTGTCTACAAGGTGCTTTGCAATCTCTTCACTTCCTAAACACCTTCTGAGTGTGCTGTTGCACTTTCTGCTCACCCCAGCTGCTGACAGGAACTGTAGATCCTGAGAATTATGCTGGATGGAAAGGACTAAGTTAGAGCAAACAGAGCCATAATTATTTTAGGAAAGGGGGAAATGAGAAGTTTGTTCTTCTTGTGTAGGAATGTGGAGAAAGTTACATACTGCAAGTTCTCTGCTTGGTAATACACTGTTGTCTGCACGCAGTAGTTTAAAAATGCACTGTTACTCTTCCTTACATCATAGAAGTGTTACACATATTGCTTCCTTCATTTCTTAACATTCTGTAGGAGTTGTTCAGGCTCATGGATCTTCAAGGATCCTACAAGTCGGGCTGTTGCTTTCATTTTTCCTTTAAACTGCAATTTCAGCTTCCTTTCAGTGACATCATTTGTGAAACAAGCAGGGCTTTAGAGGTGCAGTTCATCTGTTTGTCAGTAGTTTAGGTGATGTTGTTTGAAATAAGTATTCCAGAGCAGAATTGATATAGGCCTTTAGAACATTCAATTTCAACTAACTCCGTGCCTCACACAGGCAGAGAAGGATAACCTCCAGGGAGGATCTGAAAGAGAAGCATGCAGCAAGGATTTTCTGTAACATGTGACTATTCAGATGAGACAAGAACTTTATATATGTTAATTTTTTAAGTTTGAGTTTAGCGGTACTTTAAAGTAAAGGAAAAACCCAAAAACGTCAGTTGAGCCACAAAATTAATTCCTTCCATCCTCCAAGCTTCACTCCTTTATTCTCTTTGGTCGTATTTTAGGTAAGAGATCGATTTCTCAGATAGGCTGGGAGAGCTGGGGGTGTCAAGTCCAGAGAAGAGAACGCTCCAGGGAGACTTGAGATCCCCTTCCAGCACCTAAAGGGGCTCCAAGAGAGCTGGGGAGGGACTTGGGACAAGGCCTGGAGTGACTGGGGGGACAGGACAGGGGGGGAACGGCTTGGCACTGCCAGAGGGCAGGGATGGATGGGAGATTGGGAATTAGGAATTGTTCCCTGGCAGTGCCCAAGGCCAGGCTGGACATTGGGGCTGGAGCAGCCTGGGACAGTGGGAGGTGTCCCTGCCATGGCAGGGGGGACACTGGAGGAGCTTTAAGGTCCCTTCCAACCCAACCACTCTGTGATTCTGTGATTTTCTTGTAAGTTCTTCTGAAATCTCCCGTTTTGCTCAAGTTCATTCTGCTGCTGTTTTGCCAGTTCAAACTAACGGCTGAGCAGCTTCCCTTCCCCTCAGACACTTTCCCCATTTTAGAAGCAGGAAGTTGATGCTGCAGAGCTGAAATGACACCTGAAATGGCCCCGGGGGCCAGGAAATGGGGCAGATTGCAGAAAGTCCTATTTTGGTGTTTCTGCAGAGGAGCATCCTGACACCGCCCTCCAATCAACGGGCTCTAAAACCAACAACCATTCAAGTGCTTGACATTTCAAATTAATCGCTCCCCAGCCTGTTTCCTGCACTCCTGATTTCAATAGTTTGACTGAAATGTTTTCTATTTCATTGATCAATTACGCAAGATGCTGTCTTTTTAATGTTTTCTTTGTATTGCTTAATTTCTTCAGGCACCAATAATATACATCTATTTTTCAAAATCATTGCTAATTTGGAAGACAGTCTATTTTTATCTGAAGCTCAGTCCAGTTAAGGCGCAGTTGTTACTTGGTCCTGTTGGAATAAGGCAATTACCTTTTGTTTGGAAAGGTATTTATTTCTTTTCATGGCTTGCTTAAAATAATTATGTGACAAACAATACAAACAATTTCTAATTAAAACAGGGAAGACTGTTGAGAGAAGTGAGTTATTTCCAGCTCTGGTGATAACTCAGGTGAAGCAGTTACATATATATACACAATTCTTTGTTTTGCTGCTCAGAATGAAAAGTAGAAAGTAATCAGAGTTCTAATGAACAATTCTGTAGTCACTTTCAATAAATGTCTTGTTAGACCAGAGAGGCTCATTGGTCAGCTTTGTTAGCTGGAAATGTTAGCTGTCAGAGGAAATGGGACGTTTTTATTATTCTAAGGGAGAGTGGCATTTTGTGGCATTTCCTTTTTCATTTCTTCCAAGATCTTTCTATTCCCTTTGGTCCTGCAAAAGCTATAAAAGATTTTATAATGAAAACCATAAACTCTTACCAATTCCAACAGAACCAATACTTGGACCAGCTAAATTCTGACTGTGCAAGACCTGTTTATTGGATTTCGGAACACATTGCAGTTTTATTACACTTTTAGAAGAGACAGGGTTTTTCTTTTCCAAATTCAGAGTTTCTGGACATTGAAATTCGGCTTTCTCAGTTATTAATGCCTTCCTTCATCATCACGTGCCTTCATAGAAACCCAGAATGGTTTGGGTTGAAAGGGACCTTGAAGATCATCCAGTTCCACCCCTTGCCATGGGCAAGGGCACTTTCCACTAGGTTGCTCCAAGCCCTGTCCAGCCTTGCTTTGATCAGTCTTACAAGACTATTTCTACCTTGACAATGCAATAGGTTTCTCCCTAAATCTGCCACCTTCTGTCACTTCAGAGGTGGTTTTGTTGGTAAATTGCTTCAATACGTGTGAACTCAGTAAGTTATATTTTGTCTTTAATTACTTTTCTACTTCACTGTAGGTGCGTATAGCTGCAAAATTCATCACTCATGCTCCCCCTGGAGAGTTCAATGAAGTATTCAATGGTAAGCAATTAAGGAAAAAAATTATCTGTGGTGTTTTCTTCATGTTTTATTTATTATAAGAATCTAAGGCTGTGTCACACCATACTGCTTTTAAGGTTAAGTGGCCTGGGAAAGCATGCAGTTCTTCTGGACTATTTCTGCCTAATGAAATTATTTCATCTTTTAATGTTTGCATGTGTACAGTTGAAAATAAAGTGCATAAAGAGAAACATTTGATAAAAATCCAGTAACACACCTAGACCCTTTCTTCTCCAGATGTCCGGTTATTGCTTAACAATGACAATCTTCTCAGGGAAGGAGCAGCACAGTAAGTACTGAGATTTCAAACACAAGTCACATTACCATCAGAGATCCTTCTGTTTTCTTATACCCATCATTCTGTGACAAAGAAAACCATTTGCTGCATTCAGAGCAATCTTATGTAATTCCTTACCCACCTAATAAAATACATAATGAAAGGTGTGGATGATTCTTTTTAAAAGCCCTAAATGGGAATTTGTGATGTGTAAAACTGACAGGAAGGCATTCTGCCAAAAAGTTTGACTCTGCAGCAGCAGAAATGTCTGATCATGTTGAATCATCTGATTTATAAAGTTAGTGAAGCCTGAAATACTGATTAATCCATAGCCTAAGTTTAGAAAAAGAGCTGTCCTCAATAAAAACTTCTCAAAATTTGTTGTTTATTTCCACAGCTTCATCAGAAGGTGCTTAAAGATTACACATACACAAGCTTTTTTATGCTAAGATGTATTTCAAGC